TTTTTGGTAACAGCGCCCAGCACTCGGTTTCAGAACCCGTTCCGGCTCACAGGTGCCGCGCACGCCGGCCCCGACCCAAGACCCGATCCAAGCGCCCGTTCTCATTGTCCCTGCCGCCCACCCCACCACCCTACAGCTCCACCGGGGCTTTCCTACTCCCGCCGCCGTTTTTCTCCCCAGCCTCAGCCCCGACGGCTCCTCGGATCCCGGGACAAGTCTGGGAGGATCGCCCGCGGAGATCCTGAGGGCGATCCACCCTGGTCTCGGATCGCACTTCTGCGGCCGGAGCCCTCTCAGCGGGAGGAGACGGTGCTCCGGTCGGGGGCCGCTTACCGTGGTGCCACACCTCGGGGTGCCCGTGGAAGTAGGACCCGATGCCGTGGCCGACAAAGAAGGGGCACACCTGGAAGCCGCCCCGCTGTGCCACAGAACTGCAGGGCAAAGAGGACACCGTTAGCGAGCGCGGCCCGACCCTGCCACACATCCGTACCATCAGCAGCACCCAGCGCGGGGCCGCTGCCAGCTCTGAAAGAAAGCAGCCATCGCATAACTATCATTAGGTTTCAGAGTGAATGTGCCTGTCGGGGCAGAGCACAGAGCAGTGCAGCCCCTGTTGCCTGTGCCCCACTGCGTGCACCTGCGGCCTGTGCCAGTGCGGAGGGAAACCCCAAGCTGTTCCCTTCTAAAATATGCAAACATCCAGTGCCAAAATGTACTGCAACTCCAGAAATTTTGTTCATGCTATAATGAACAATATATTTCCACTGAACCCGTCAGCACAGTCCCCAAACCAAATCATCATAATTATGGCACTTCAGTTCTGCTGGGAAGATCTGTCCGGTCCTTCACAGCCTCTCAAAAAGGGCATCTTCCAGAGAGACAGATGTCCTGTCTGCAGGAACAGAGCCTGGCCCCGGGCCTCTTCCATGTCAGGAAAGCAAAATCCCATCCTGGTGCCCAAAGCTGGGGACCTAGAGGTCTGGGAGTACCCTGTGGTGCAGGCCAGGCTCTGCCAGCAAGCCACTCCACAGCACTGACCCAGGCAGCTCAGCCAGCAGAGCCAGCCCTATCCCAAATGGAAATCTGGGGCACCTGAGGTGGAGTGCAAGTCACAGGGGAGCTGCTCCTGAGCATCATCCCCACGGTGTGCCCAGAGCAAACAGGAGCATGGAAGCGGGACAGGAGGCAGTCTGTCTGAAAAGATTTTGTCTGTGAACCTAAAAGCTTCATTTGTTCACTTAAGATCATGGTGGGCCCTTCACACTTCAGGTTTGCTTGTAGTGACAGCTGAACAAACGTGCCCGCTGCCTCAATACAGAGAGCCATCACATTTCTATCTGGAGACGACTGAAAATCGTGCTTATCTGTCCCCAAATTCCTAATTTCTGGCAAAAAGGGATACTAATATGGCTAGAAATTGGGCTTCAATTTGTGGCACTCAAGGTCCACAGCTTGATGTTACATATAGTTTGTGTGGAAAAAAACCCCATGACGGTTTATGCAGCAAGAGGTCCCAGCAGTGAGGGAAGTCCATGCCCCCCACTGTGCCAGCCAGCCTGGGTCACGGCTAGGGCTGGCTGTGACACTGCTGAAGGCCAAAGAAGATCAG